GGACCCCCTTTGAACTTCCTTTTATTCTTGTTTGTTGATGGTTGGGCAACTTTGGGTTGGGCTGGTGGCTGAGCAACTGGCTGGGCTTGTGTCTGAGTGGCTTCTCGTCAGATACTGGCATCGACTTCTTGTGCAATAGCAACTGTACGGGCGTAGGTCTGGACGCCGTGACCTACGATGTTGTGGCGGACTGCTGGGTGAAGTCCGTTAGTGAAACGATGGGCTCTCTTCGCCTCCGTACCCACAAGATCAGGTACAAAGGCTCCGAGACGAGCAAACTCTCTCTCGTACTCGTCAACAGAACAAGTACCCTGGGTGAGTGCCAAGAACTGGCGCTCCATGTCTGCTCAGTAGTACGAGGGATAGTACTTCTCTCGGATCAACTCCTTGAATTGGTCCCACGTACAACCTTCTTTCTCGCCGTGACGCATACTCCAATAGGCATTCCACCAGAGTCGGGCATCACCGGTCAGCTGGATTTGGGCACATAACATACGATAACGATCAGGGCAGTTCATGACCTCGAAAATCACCTCGAGGCCCTGAACCCATTCATCTACTATACGAGGATCTCCTTGGCCGGAAAACTTTTTTGGATGGTAGTCGCAAAACTGTGCGACTACTGTGGCCTGTGGGAGTTCCTGGTGATCTGGATCTCTACGAGGAGGCATCTGAACATTGAAATGTTTAACATGATTAAATAACATAAGAAATTAACTGACTGACGGCTAAAGTACACAAATTTCTTAACGAGTCGCTAAATAACCCGAGAATACTAAAGTCGAACTATCAAGTAACTGAGACAATCGACTATGTTATGAAAATACTCGAGAATCTTACAGGTTTCTAGGGTCAAATGTCTGGTACCTTCTTACTGAGCATAGACTTAAGAATTCGCTTAAATATATATGAACTGTAACTCAGCACTTACCTGATAGTTGGCGAGGCGTGAGCGTAGCGTGGTCGGGTATTTTCTGAAAATTTCTGACTTAAAAAGTATTCAGATACACGAAAACGTGCTTTGATACCAATTTGTAACACCCCACTAGCTTACTAAAATCAGAGTGCGATTTTCGCAAATTCTTTTCTAAAATTTAGGTTTTAGTTTGCGAAATCATATCTCGGGATGCTACAGAAAAACATTACTTTTCTAAAAATCCGTTAACTTATCAATTTTAAACTCATTTATGAAAAACGGATTATCTTTTATAAAACAAGCGTGTGATACTGTATAAAATTTGACCCGAAGACTCGGATCGTCATCTGAAATTTAACACGCTAGTTTGAAAGTCTGAAAACGTCAGCGGAAGTAAAAAAAAACATGGCAAATATGTACATATCAACAGTCTGCAAAAACATATACATACTTACATGTACTACACCGGCGACCACCAGCTCCACTCACTCCTCCGAACCGACCCTGTCACCTGAAAAGGATCATAGTAATGGGAGCGTGAGTACTAAAATCACTGTACTCCGCAGAAACTCATACAAAAGTAAACATTAATAATAATATCAATATCATGACTGCAAGTATATATAAGTAAACTGTAATCTCCCGACACTGGGTCGGTAACTGAACTGAACCTCCTCGGACACTGTGTTCGTCCATGTGCACATTCTGATGGCCTATTAAGGCTACTGCGCCTCCACCGGAACTCGGATGGCCTATTAAGGCTACTGCGCCTCCACCCAGAGTGGAATAACTCATATACA